TTTTTTTAAAAAGCATAATTAAGTCAGTGTTTAAATAACAGACATAACTCTGGCTATATAAAACAGAAGCATACAGCAGGAAGTAAAGAAAAATCCACAAAGGGACATTATAAAGTTATCACTCACCAACTGTTTTGAGATCACATATGTTTGTTGCTATGAATACAACAAACACTCTCTTGATGACAGGTTACTGAACTATACAAAAACTCATAATATTCCTAAGGGGTAAAAACCTCAGATGAGATTTCTGAGCCAAAGCTAATTTGGGAAGAAAGCATACAAGTAAGCCAATAAAGCATTCTAACATGAAATCCTGGCTTCCTCTGACGTCAGCCCAGCAGGCCAAGGCCAGCGACAACACAGAGGAGTCAGCACAGGAGGAAATGTGTGCCAGGTGGTTCCCAGCATCTTGGAAATGCAAATTCAGCAGCTAACATAAAACTCCCTAAATCTACCTTAAATGCTGCTGTATAAATCACAATATGTCTGTTTTCTTGAGAGTCTATTGGTATCCAGCTTCTCAGAATGTCAAAATAATGGTTACAACCAACAATTGACTATTGAGTATTATTAAGCACTCCATAGGTTAAAAAAAAATTTTTTTAAGTAAAAAAGATTGAGAAAGAGAAGGAGAAAGCCTCTTTGCTTGCTTTTTGACAGAACTTTTAGTTTTAAACTCAGCAGGAAACAAGATAATGACTGCAAAAGCCAGGTAGAAGTCACAGAGTTTCTTCAGGACCATACAAACCTAGCTAAAAGTGAAGACAATTTCAAACCAATGAATGTTTGTTGCTGATGACCAAAGTCCTCAATGTTGATCAAACCCCATTTCCCTCATATTCTCTAATTTCCTAATATATTCTGCATGTATGTATCTCTGAAGTCTGAGCTAGAGAGAAAGTATTGTGTAGTACTGTTTTCAAGTATTTTCCCCTCTGGCTATGCAAAATAGAAAAAAGAAAATAATATATTATATAAAAATTATATAGCAACAAAAATAAGATAATGACATTTCAAATTGCTTATTTAACTTTTTAAATTCTTAAATATTAATTTTAATTGGGGAAGGCATACACCTTTGATCAAAACCAGTGACCCTGCTACAGGCATTCTCAACCAAATAAAATCTAAAACTTTGGTATGAGGTCATTAAACTATTCCCAAGGCATCCTTTTACTCTAAAAGCTTCTGTAAGCGATTGAAGTTCTAATTTGAATAATTGCATTCCACCTACATAAATTCCCTTTGTAGTTTCAACTATATGCAGTATCAGTCTTCATTTCCTGAATTAAATTAATGTCATGTAATTTGGTGCTCCTCTTTTAAAAAAAAAGTGCATCTACTTTCATAGTAACCTTTCAGCAACCAGTAGAAGTGATTCATGTGCACTAGAGGGGAATAGGTCAGTATGAATAATCATTAACCAACAATTTGTGCCAGTATTCATTGTGTGTTCAGCACTGCAAAAGAACATTTCACCCAATAAAATAGATGTAGCTATACAGTTTTATAAAAAATCAAATACTTTACAAACTATCTCCTATTTTCCATTGAATTATATCAATGTATGACTAAAAACTTTATGTTCAAGTATGATTTACCTTTAACAAGCTGAGACTCATGTGTGATCACCCCTATCCTTTTAGTCAGATACTTAACAAACTGTAAATTAATACTAAAAACCCTACCCTAAAAAAAAAAAAAAAAACACTGAATAGTGTTTAAAAAGAATTCTTACTCATAGGAGGGAATCCTGAAAACAAGCTTCTCCTAATCACAAGCCAATAGAATTTTTGAAAGACCTAAAAACAGTTCTTATAGTAAAATCTGTTACTCAAAGTGAATGTTTCAGTCTTGCCATAATAGCACTTATTCAGTAAACCCAAAGGACTGGTATTAAATGAGATCTGATCTTTCAATTCTTAGCTTTTCTTAAATGACACATCTACAAGTAGTTAAGTAATCTTTTAGAGTGGCTTTTTTAAGAGTCAGGAAAAATCAGTGTGTTCTCTGTAAGATGCTCAGGGATTTCCAGAGATGAGATCTCCACATCCTGCCAGCTATTTCAGTACTTAACTCATTAGAGAAATTTAAAGGCAAGAATTTATTTCAATTGCCAAAAATTCTGCTGAACTCCACAGTCTAAATATGTTTAGTTCATCAAAGCAAAGATGTCTTCAAACATGCTGAATTAGTTAATTCTCAAAACTCATCATTCCAATTTCTGCTCTTAAATAATTTTACATATGATTTAGTGATATCTAATAAAATTATAAATAAAATTATCTGTTATACCTAGAGTTAGTCTCAAATTCATAAAATATAGACCCAAATGTAATAAATACATATTTTTCCTTTCTTCCCAGAATATCTTTTTTTTTTTTTTTTTAATGACAAGGTCTTACTATATCATGCAGCCTGGTCTCAAATTTCTGTCTCAAGTGATCCTCCCACCTCACCCTCTCAAAGTAGTGGATTATAGATGTGAGTCATAATGTCCAACCCAGAATATACATTTTGCTTTTATTCTGAAAATAGCATCCCCCTTCCACTAGGAAATATCACATATACGCTACTCCCACTCCCACAGAACATTATTCAAATAGATGTCATCATTTTCTTAGGGATCACTCATCCTAGCCATAGGCTAAGGGAACGAACTGTCCAAAGCTAGACCAGTCATGGTTCCCAATCCTGATAACCAAAGTTGATCTATTCATTTCTATATTTAAGAGAATGTGACCCAAGCTGAATCAATAACAGCCTTTCTCCAAGATTTTTCAAACTAAAATTAAGACAAAAGGAGTGATCTCTCTCAGGTGGCGATGAAACTGGGCATCCGACATGATGACAGCCGCCAACAGCCATGTGCCTTGCCATGTGGAAAAAGCTGCTCTGAGAAAACTAAGCCAAGACGAAGACAGAAGGCGAGAAGACCAAACACCCTGGCAGTGTTTAAGTCCTAGTTCCAGTTGTCCCTGACAACTGATGCACTCCTGCCTTCCTCATGGGTACATAATAAACCTTCCAATAAATTCTGCTTTAAACCAAAGTTAATTTCAACTGTTTTTCTATAACCAGTAGCCAAGGAAACTCTACATAATATACCAAATAAATTCTAAGGTAATAAATTTGACTTCTTGTGTGTGAGTCCCAGGAATACTGAAAGAAATTCTAATGCAACCACAGATTCTAAATGCATCTAATGCAAACCTGGCATTAGTCCACAGACTGACATTTAAGAATGACATGATTGAATACTTTCTTCACTGCCTTCTCCGTGAATATAAGCTTTGTCCTTAATAAGACAATCGATTTCTTGTGAGCAAGAACCATATACTTTTTAATGAATTTTGTTAGCTCTCAGCACAAGCCATTAACATAAATGTTCAATAGGAATATACTGGGCTAAAAATATGAAGACTGAAATACTATAATTGCCATGTGATCCTCTGGAATATTATCATATCCAGAGTAAGTAGGTTTTCTGTTCTGGAAAAGTCCTTCTCAGGACAGTGATGGTTTGTGTAGCAAGACAGCACTAAAAAGAAACAGAAAAAATTATTTGTTACCAAAAGATAGATACCCATGAATGGATTCAAAGGAATCCTTTGGAAGGGATCTGAGTGGCTGTGGAGAAGATTGTTTTAACCTGAAATGAACACTCTGACACTCTGATTCAAAAGCTCAGCAAAATCTATCTCCCTAAGGTTTGTGTCTAAGGCAAGGCCATTAGGAATTCAAAATTAAAGAGGTAGGAAGTGTAAAATCCAGTTTAAGTTAAAGGCATTAAACTGTATTTAGAAATAAAGCCATATAACTATAAATTTCTCTTCCGATGTTTACTATATGCCTACATTAAAATATTTTTCGCATTCAAATAAGTGACCAGTTTGCTTTACGCTGGTGACCCCTATAAAGGGAACCTGAAAGACAAAGGTTAAGTCAGAATCCCCTGCCCAAAAGAAGGCCCTTTTGCTTCTATGCTCAAGTGATGGCAGTAGAATATAAAGGCAGCCTGGCTTTAAATCTTATCCCCACCCAAAAAGCACAGCACCCTAAGGATCCACTGACCTTCGTTATCTCACTGACTACTAGAACTCAGGAAAAAGTCTAATTTCTAATACCACAATTACAATAAATAAAGCAAATTCATTCAAACTCCTTAAAGCTGATATCTATGCCCTTAACTAGTTCTAACTTTAAAAAAAAAAAAACTGAGCTAGTTATTATCTGTATAGTTTTAATTTCTTACAAGCTTACATATTCATTTTTGTCATTGTTTTATGCTACTCAGTTCAGTGCATGAACTTAATACAAAGTTAATAAGGGAAGAAACCAAATCATATTACAACATGCAAATTCTGCATAACTGCATAAACTTAAACAGCTAGGTTCTAGACATCAACTTTAGAAAAACAAAATTTCCTCTAAGTTATTCCAGAAGACTATTCGTATATAACTTTCAGAAATCTCCAGTCCAAAGTTCTTCCACTAAAAACTGCACTTAATCTATTCTATCAGCAATATGCTAAAAAGAGCACACTAGACTATCTGGGATCAGTGATCTACACTTTTCTGCAAACTAAAATCATGCATCTATATGATAACATAAAGTAAATGAATTTGACCCAAAACTATCCTGCAACTATACTAATAATTTGGTCTTAAAAGAACATTCAAAAATGCCCATATTCACAGAAAATGGTGTCATTTACCAAAATTTCTCTAGGATCTCAATTTACAATTCTCAGGAAAAAATCAAACTATGACCCAAAGGAGTATCTGATAGTTATTTTTATTTACCTCTGTTCTCATTATAATATAACTGCATTAGAAGACCTTAAAAAGAAATTTACTAAAGTGAAATTTCAGTTCAATGCCTTTTTATGACCTTTCAGCTCCCAGAATAGACATAATAACTGGAACTCCCATTTCCAGTGCTTGAGAAACAAGGAAGAATGTGCTTTACAAAATGAGGTTATATTCATCTTCACCTGCATTGATGCTCCTTCCACTCTTGCCACACAGGCGACCCGATCCAAGAATGTCACTGCCATGGGCACTGCCACAAAGAAGCCTTTACAAAAGGCCTTGACATATCTTTTCATCCACCCTTGTGACTGGGCCATACCTAAAAATTAAAAAAAAAAAAAAAAGTAGGCAATTAGCCTCTAGAAAGGTGAAAAATAAACTTACAAAACAGCACAAGAAAAATAAGAAAAACAATCTTGTCTCTTAATATATTTTGCACTTGTCCCTATAACCATTGAAATAAATTTGACCTAAAATCCCAAAGGGAATTACTCAGGTTAACTCTTTTCAGTAATTCAAATCCACTTGATAATGTCAGTGGAAAATTTCTCCCTACAAAGCAGTAAGAAGTTAGAAAAAAAATAAGCATTGTAAAGGAAAACATTTTTGTGAATTTATGCTCCTTATACCCCTGATGTCTGTTCTATTCCACAGCAATAGAAATTTTAGTAGGACATGTGGCTTCAGCCTCCCCTTGCAGCTAAGTATGACCCTTGCAGCTAGGTTTGATCAATGGCATAGAAGCAGAAATGACATACATCTAGGTTATACCCTTAAAAGGAATAAGCTCTTCACTTTATATTCCCCATCATAGAACTGTATTAATAACAATATTGTAGTAGGTGAGGAATAGCCTTCTCAAGTATGCAATAAAAGCTTTAAATAAAGATGGCAAAGCAACAAAATAGAAGAATCCTAGATCTCTGACACCATGTGGGCATCATAACTGTCAGTCTGTCAATGAGAAATAAATCACTTTCTATCATATTTAAAGTGCTGCTATATTGGCCTTTGCCATACACATAGTAGCCAAAAAGCTCCTAACTAATACAACAATAAAATCTACCGTAGATCAGGAGAAAAAAGCACTACGTGTCAGTTCAATACAAGTTATTACCAAATCTGACTTAGCCTGTACCATTTGATTTAATTTTCAGATTTTCCATGGATAAGGAGATCCTTTAACCCAGCAATCCCCAGCCTTTCTGGCACGAGGGACCAATTTCATTAAAGATAATTTTTCCACAGACAGAGGAGGGATGGGGAGCATCAGATTCTCATAAGGAGTATGTAACCTCACCCCCATACGCACAGTTTATAGCAGAGTTTGCGATTCTATAAAAATATAATGGTGCCCCTGATCCGATAGGAGGCAGAGCTCTGGAGGTAATGCCAGAAATGGTGAGTGGCTCACCCCTTCTCCCCTCCTGCTGTGCATCCTAGTTCCTAATAGGCCACAGACTGGTACCTATATGCACCAGAAATGGTGAGTGGCTCACCCACTCCCTCCTATGTGCATCCTAGTTCCTAACAGGCCAAAGACTGGTACTGCTGGTGTGTAGGCAGGCTGGGGCAATGGGGTGGGAGAGGTGTGTTAGGGACCACAGCCTTAAGAAAGATAAATTACCAGTTGGTTCCCTAACTTGGACAAGCTCCACGTGCTTGACCTCTCCTCCCTTAGTGTGCAAGACTAGATCAGAGCAACTGAAAAATTCCTTAACAGAATCACAAGGTTTGTTCAGACCTAACAAACTCCACATTCTGTGAACCTCACAGATCACTCTAGTTCCAAATGTCCTGAAATTTCTTTTCCTCTTGAGAGTAGCTTTAGAAGTATCCAGAAATGCAATTTAGACCAAGTATTTGCCAGAAAGGCATACACCAGGACATTATCTTGACTCCTCAAGTTCCGAAAAACCACACTATAAGAGCATTGTTATGATAATGTTAATATTACAGAAACAAAAAGAAGCAAAAATAGGCATGAACATGGGACGGAAAGTAAAAAGGTAAGACAGACAGTCATGGAAAAAAAAGAAGAGGACACGGGAGAGGGATAAAATAAGTAAAGATAAAAAAGCAGAAAAACTATAGGCAAATTCTGGCTGGTACTCATTTCTGAAGATTTTATCCAGTGACCCATATCATTTAACCTTGAAATGAGACACCAGAGGAGCATATGAAGAAAGGAGGCTACCACCTATATGACACACAAATTATTATAATCATAGAACCACTTGCAAAGTTTAACCCAAAAGATTCCACTTCTCATTTCATTTTGAAGGAAACTTTCCTTTTGAAGACACATAAAAGAGAGAGTAACAACGTAATAAGGAACACAAAGCTTTCTGACCCTGATAAAGCAAAAGAATTCTCTAGAATTATCAATCTAGGACAATTGCTTTCAAGCTTTTTTGACAATGTACCACATGAAGAAATACATCTTATATAGCAACTCTGTACTTGCTCATGCACACACATACACAAATGCACACATATACACATAAATACCTCACAGCAAGAATTAAAAAGTTTCATAAAACAATACTTATCCTTACTCTATAATAGGTTATAATTATAGCCTAGCATATTTCATTTTTCAAAAGAAACTGCTAATTTTGAATCACTAAATTAATTATTATGACCCACTACATGTTCTTAACCTGCAGATTTATGTAGACACCTAAAATTACCCCAATCAAAAACTGAACATGCACGTGCAGAATGAAATTAAACCTTTATCTCTCATCATGTACAAAAATTAACTAAAAATAGAGACAAATATAAGGTTCGAAACTATGAAAATATTATAAGATAGGGGAAATACGTCACAAAATTAGTTGGCAAAAACATTTTGGATAAGACCTTAAAACATAGGCAACAAAAGCAAAAGAAGACAAATGTAATTATATCAAACTAAAAAGTTTCTCTACATCAAAGGAACCGTCCACAGAGTGAAAAGACAACTTACAGAATGAGAGACAATACTCACAAACTACACTTCAGACAATATATGAAAGGAATCCAAACAACTCAATAGTAAAAAGAGAACTTCCTTTTAAAAATAGGCAAAGACCTGAGCAGACATTGCTCAAAAGAAAACATAACAAATGACCAACAGCTATGTGAAAAAAAGCTCAACATCAGTAATCTCAACATCAGTAATCATCACGAAATGCAAATCAAAATCACAGTGAGACATCCTCTCACCCAGTTACAATGGCCATTATCAAAAGGTAACAAGCACCGGCAAAGATGTGGAGAAAAGGAAACCTTCATACACTGTTGGTGGGAATATAATTTAGGATAGCTATTATGGACTGCTGTATGGAGGGTCCTCAAAAAATTAAAAATAGAACATATGATTTAGCATTCCTACTCTTGGATATATACCCAAAGGAACTGAAATCAGTATGTCAAAGAGATATCTGTACTTCCATATTATCACAGCACAATTAACAACAGCCAAGATACAGAATCAACCTAAGTGCACATAAATGAATAAATTTAAAATGTGATATATAGACATACACGGAATGCTATTCAGCCACAAAAAATTAAATCCTCCCATTTATGACACTCTGGATAAATCTGAAGGACATCATGTGAAATAAGCTAGGCACAGAAAAACAAATATTACATGATTTCACTCAGATGTGGAATCTAAAATAGTTGCACTCATAAAAGTTAAGAGTAGAATAGTAGATTATCCCTGGGATAGTTAGTGAGTAGAGAAGGATGGAGAGATATTAGCAAAAGGATTTTTATTGTTGTTAAGTTGCAGTTTGGCTGGGACTGGGTTCAAACCTGCCACCCTCAGTATACGGGGCCAGCGCCCTACTCACTGAGCCACAGGTGCCTCCCAGGAAAAGGATCTTAATTACAGCTAGATGGAAGGAATAAATTTAAGAGATCTATCGTACAGCAAAGTGAACAGTCAATATATTATATTCTT